TATTTTTGTAAAAAAAAAAAAAGGAACCATTTCAATCTTAAAAAATAAAAATAGCAGAAATAGAGTAATACTCATGCCACCTTAGTCATCATTACACATGTAGGTAAAAGAGAAAACATTGAAAGAAGGAAATCTCAGCAAATGCGCATGAACTTCTCTCCATTTTTTTTTGTTTTTTTGTTTTTTTGGGATAAGTGAACTTCTCTGCATTTCTACCGAAGATGTATGGAGAATTTTTTAATTATTTATAAGTCATATTATTAAATATTTATAATATTTTTTATTTTTATTGTCCATTAGATATTGGTAAAAAAATATTATTAAAATATATATATATATTTAATAAAAATAAAATAAAAAATTTATTAAAATTTTAGATATAGTTAATAAATTTTTAAAAAATATATTAAAAATAACTTATAGATAATGGCAAAGGAGCAGTAACAAAAAGAGAGTCAAGCCTTCACTTTCCTTTCAAATACTTTTTTTTTTTGGGCCAGCACTTAATACTTAGTCGCACCTGCTACCTTTGACCAATTCATGACATGAAGAGGTAGACTGATTCATAATATATACTACAAGATAAGAAACTTTCAAGTTCCATGGGCGGCATCATTCTCATATGGGAAGAAGTGTCGTAGAAATTAAGATGGTTGTTGCTCACGCAATTATGAACTGTAGTATGCATAAAAGTCGAAGACATTCATTATATACATAGATGGACACAAACTGAGAAAATTCACTTCCGATTTCAGTTCATTGCGCAGAAAAGCCATGGGGTGTAGTTTTTCCGCAGAAGATAAGACAGAGAGAGATGAAATGACGGATCAAGCTGCCCGGAAATCTAAGGCAGCTCAACGACGCCATCATCGACAATCACGTCACGTATATAGAACTGGTGGAGCCGACGGTGACATGATCCTCATGACGGGCGCTGCAGCTTCCATCCAAGTGAGCTCCACCTCCGGGATGTTCTGTGGAGGAGACGGAGGTGCCGGAACTTCTGGTGGAGGCGGAGGTTGCGGCGGCGGCGGCGGTTGTGGTGGCGGCGGATGTTGACAAGCGTGCATAAGTATAATCCTGTTCAATTGTTTTCATCAGTGAAAAATTGTTGATAAATAGATCAATTCTTTGTAGGGAGAATCTCATCTATATATTCTTTGTAGCTAAGCTTTGTCGTTGATAAATAGAAAGTCTTTGTAAGTAAGCTGCGTCGTTTTTAACCTGTGCGTATACATGTTGGACGAAGATATAAGTTCTTTTCTGTCTTTTCATTTCTTTTAACTTTTAAGATCCTATTAAACAAATTTCTAGAATACCAAAAAGTAGGCATGTTAGTTATTTAATTTGAAATTAATATATAAAGAATTTGTGACAGTTTTTTAAAAATAACAGTTCATTATTTAATGACTAAAATTTAATGCGCAAAAATAAAAAGGGAGAATGATATTTAAGACCATCACAAGAAAATTTATTATAATAAAAGTCTATTAATTTTGTATTGAATATTATTTTATAAAAATACATATATTTTATTGTTAAAAGTTGAACCTTAACATTTATTTATTGTTAGAGTTTCAAGTATTAAAAAAAAAAATTTAATGAGAGACAACACTCAAGAGAGAATGGGGCCTTGTATTATTAGTATACTACGACATCAAACTTTTGTTGGATTGCTTTTTTTTTTTTTTATTTGCCTACAAGAATGCCTTCAAAGCACTCCTGTAGCCAATACTCTTATTGTAAATATTTGTTGTCTAATTATAAATATTTTTTATTAAGTTGTAAATATGCAGGATTTAAAACTTGAGAGTATTTTATACATTTTGAGAGTAATTTATGCATTTTATGAGACTTCTTGGTAATTAAATCTCTTTTATAGCACTTAAGTGTAATTTTAAAAAAAATTTGTTGAGCTCAAAAAAAGTCCTCCCCATGGTTTGTAAAATTGGATTGAACTAGTCGGTTGAATCAGCGAACTGACTCCAATCCAATGCAATTATTTTTTGAATACCTGTCAACTCAAGTTTAACTCAAATTATAGAGTCGAGAATAAGGGCCTGACTTGATAGGCTGCCCGTTTAAGCCCATTTTAATAAGGATTCGGGCTTAAAAATTTAGCATTTTTTAGGGTAACTGGACTTTGAAGCCCGACCCTTTTAAGCCCTAGAAAAACGGGCTCGGGCTCGGGCGGCCCGTGAAGCCTGTTTTACTGTTCACAAAGTATTATTTTCACCTCTTTTCAGATAATGTGCAAACATTAATTTGTATTTTGTAGCAGCAATTGGTTGAATTATTTTGTGCCATTTTATAGTAATTTTTATATTTTATCTTGTGATATATGTATAGATATATATTTGATAATAAAACAATTTAATTAATAATTATTGTAGGTGACGAGAAGAAGCTGCAGAAATAATTAATATTGAGTCTCCGCCTCCATCTTTCACAAGTGAACTTACATCTGAGGGTTTTAATATTTTATTTATTGATGATAATGAGGGAGATCTTGATTAGGATTGATAATGATGTTTGCCTTCATCTTATTTGGACTTTTAAATTTTTTGTTCATTTTTTAGATTATGTGAGACTTTGGTTTGATATATGTTAAATTTTAAAATATTCTAAATAAATTTTAATGTTGAATTTTATTTTATTTTATTTTATTTTATTCTTATCCAGGCTTACGGACCTGGCCCTGAGCCCTATGAATAAGGACTGAGTTTTAATTTTAAGATAAAATTGGAGTAACCGGGCTTTAGGACCTAGGCCCATAAGGGCCGAGCTCATATGAGCTAGACCCGCCCGTTTACCAACTCTATCAAATTATCCCGCCTAATCTCATAGGTCAAGTAAGATGGGCGGGTTAAATTCCACCCTCCCCTCACGAGATAGTTTATAAATTAAAAAAAAATGAAAATGATCAAAGCAACACAAGAAAAAGATGAAGATAAAAAAACTCAATGAGATTCAAGAAAAAATTAGGAGAAAGAAGATTTTATCACCTTTAACATTCTTTTTTAATCACAAAGCCACTTGATTTGGCATCTAATTTTTTATAGTTATTTTTTACCAAGAATCTGTATGCTATTTAAATCATAGAAAATGAAAATAATAAATTGACATCTAGTAAATATTATTTTTAAACAGAATTAAAGACATAAATTATAAATAATTCATAATATTTTTGTCGTATAATTGTATGAGATATTAAGCCATAGATAAAAAACAATATATTAAAAATTTAACGTGTTTTTATTTAAATTATATCATATGAACAAATTTTGTAGAAGGATTATGATTGGTGAGATCTTATTTAATTCCATTGATCAATTTACTTTGATCTTAATTTAATTCTCTTATGCAATTGGTTTACTCAATTTATTCTTATGCCATTTCTTATATCTTTTCTGTTTTCATCAGTCCTCTTGTCGATCCTCATTTCAAGTAGGAGCATTTATTTCAACTATCTCTTCAACTTCATTTATGCCATGCCTTATTTCCAATGGTTCTTCCAATAGTTCTCTTGGTCCCCTCTGTTTTTTTGGTTTACTCCTCTTAAAATTCTTCAAGGAGGTGTCCAAGACAATGCTGTTCATGTTCACCTCATATGCATAGATGTTTTATTTCAAAACCATTTAGCCATCAACATTATCTTTTTCACAGACGTTTTATTTCAAAAATTGTTTGGTAAGTTTTGTGATCATCAAACTAACTTTGTTCTATCAGTTAAGAAAATAATGGAATCAAGTCAAAGAGCTATGAAATCTTACTAGAGGTCACAGGTGCTCAATTCTGCTACATCGATTGAAGAGCATAAGAATCAAATTGTAAAATAGAAGGTATGATTTTTGTTTTAACGGTTTTTTCTTGCTCAACTTACACAAATTAAAAAAATTGCGAGCTTTTAAATTTCAATTTTATGTTGCTTCTTTTATTTTAAATTTAAAACGCTCCATTAAAATTTGAATATGAAAACCACTTAATAATATTCAATCATTGAAAATTGAAACTTGAAAAACCTTATTCCTATTATAACTCTGTTAGATTTGGCTTTTTTTATATTATTACTCATCATCTTTTTTGCAAAGATAATCATTAATTATAATTAACTCATTAAGGTTAATTATTCTGTATTCCATTCACACATTCTCCCATTACTCCATTAATGAACATTTATGGTCAAGTGTGTAAAATATATAAAATATCAGTTTCAATACTTGACAATAAAAATTAAATCCCACTCACTTCAAATATTGGAAAATATTAAATTTTAAATATTTAAATTCTCAATTATGTCATTGGAACCTGCAAGACCATTTTCCTAGTATCAATTTCAATGCTTGACAATAAAAATTAAATTCTAATCACTTCAAATATTAGAAAAAATAAATTTTGAATATTTAAATTCTTGATTATTTTATTGAAACCTATAAAACTATTTTCCTAATATTCTACTATTGAATTAGTATATGTTTTTATTTCAATTCCTCCTACTATCAAAATTGATTTTCCAACCAAAAGTTTTTCATTATAATACTTCTTCAGAAACTAAATCCATTTAAAATTAATTCCTTCAAAAGTTGTGTATTTGCATGTGGTTGATAAAAAAAACCTTTAACGCACCTTCGTTTCCATCAAGTAATTCATTTTACAAACATTAAAATAAAAAAAAACGTTGTAGTGGTTTTTTCCATTTGGCACCATATATATATATATTTTTGGTGGTTTTTTACTAAAGGTTACCTTGCTTGTCATGGTTTTTGTGGGCTCATATATTTTATCAGAGTTTTGTCCAAATTTCGTAATGGCACTACAAGAGTCATGGTTTTTGTAAATTCATGTTCAAATTTCGCAGTGTTTCAAAGTTTATGATTGAAGTATAATGTGTTTTGAATATCCCCTCCTAAAATAAAGAAAATTATTGAATAAAAAAATAAAGAAAATCAATGGCAAAGGTTAGAAGTTAAACACCTACAGAACTGGAGAAATAATTTTTGGATTGTTTTCTTACGACAAGGAATCGAATCCGAAGTATTCAAGACGCGCGCTAAAATAGAAGTCAAACACAATTACACGTACACGTAATGCGAGTCGTGGCCAACATGTTGACCCAGTAAAAGACATGGTCAACATTGGTCATCGATCGACTACGTCTCAATTTTACCCTGCCAGCTGCCAGGTAACTTCTCACGACTCAATAACTAACAGCAAAAAAAAAAAAAAAAACAGAGAGAAAAATATCTGAAATTTCAATACATGAATTTTAACTTGTCAGATAACATCGTATGTCTCTGAAATTAATAATTGAGTTTGAATGTTTCTTCCTATGGACCGGATCGAACATGATGAAAAATTAAACGACAGCATATATGTGATGCAAAATTTATACTATATATATAGGTATATCCATGAGATTTAGTATGTTGCGCATGCACGGATAAGAGAATTAATTATACTATACTCTGAGCTCTAGCAAATAAGGATGGAACCAGTTTTCGTGGCATTTATCGTCGCGACTGTCTGCTTATTCACCTTTACCTTGCTATTTGGAATATTCTGCCGAGGAAGCCAACTCCGGCCAACAGCAGGCGGCGGCGGCGGTATTGATCTTCAGCAGCATCATCACAGTCATCTTTTTCATGGTGGACTGAATATAGATGTTGGGGCTACTGCAGCCAGCGGAGTTGCTGGATGTGATATTGGTAGTGGTGGAGGAGGAGGAGGAGGAGGTGGTGGTGGAGGAGGATGTGATGTTGGTGGCGGCGGCGGCGCTAGTGCTTGTTAAACAAACTCCATTTCACAATGAAGTCAAAGCTATTTTACCCCACGATTTCAAAATTTTGAAATTGATAAAGTGAATTATGCATCAGATTTTCAATCTTGGTTGTGAATAGTTAATTAAGACGACTGGAATCCTTATTATGGTGCATAAGTGCAGAGAACATTCATATTTTTTTTTTGCCTGAATTGTTATTTATTTCATTGTGATTCATGGTGATGTTGTCTGTATTTTCAGGTACTTTCAATGAGATTTCTAATTACATTTACATAAGTAATCATGCCTTTCTAAGTATGCCAAAGAATTGATTATATGCACATTTTTTGAACTTAAGCCACTCCACATGCCCAAGAAATTGATATTGATTATGGGGTATGTCTTAGGACCTGTTTAGATACCCTTCCAAAATTAATTATAGAATTCAAAATCATGATTTTAAAAAAATAAGGACCTGTTTGGTTTCCATTCTTATTTATTATTTTTAAAAATTATTTTGTAATACAGTTTTTAAAATTTTTTTTCAAAACAAAAAAAATAAAAATTTGTTTGATTATGTCAATTAAAAAACAGTTTTAAAATTAAAAAATGAACTGATAATAATAATTATAGATACTTAATTGTGGTGATTAATATTGAAAATTGATTAAGGTAATTATAATTTTTAATAATTAAATGTAGTGTATTTTAAAAACAAGAAAAATAAAATAAAAGTTGTTTCTATTTTTTTGTTTAGAAAAACAAACAATGAAGGCAGTTTTGAAAACAATTAAATAAAAAATATTTGTTACGAGCTCACATTTCTTTTTAAAGCTGGTTCCACTTGGATTCTTGCTATTTAAAGTGGGCTTAATTAACACGGTTAAAATAATCTTAATAATTCTTATCATCTAAAACAGAGTTGAACCTAGCTTATAAATTAATTATTGAATAACCCAATGTGATCAATCCTCATCGTTACAATAGCATTATTATTTCTTCATATATTTATCAATTTGGTTAACGCAAATGCAATTTGAGCATATATTACTTTGAAAATGAATGCCATCGTTTAATTAAGACACGCCAACTTAAATAGTTTGAGTGACGACGTTGGCTATTCTCCCGCATAAATCATAATTCTCTAACATACCATAACCCACTCAAACTACATATACAATGGAAATGTAAATAAGAATGACAATAAAATCTTAAAATACTAAATTAATATGTATAAGTTAGTTCCCTTCCAAAATTTTTAAAATATAAGTTGTAAATATTGATATAGACAGTTGTAATTTTATCTAGAATTAAATGTCTTATTTATCATTGAAACTTTTAAAATTATAATTATTTAAAATAAAATTTATAATTTATATTTTAAAAAATATTTTTGAAACCTCACAATCACCAATTTATTCTTAAAAAAATAGCAACCAAAGATTGCTAACTAAAATTTATATCAATTAAAAATTATTTATTGTTAAAATTTAAATGAATATTTGTTGATTCTGATTAGTCTTCTATTAACGAATATTTATTTAAATTTTAATAATAATTTATTTTAAATTTACAATAATTTATTTAGATTTGTTTTTTATTTAAATTTTGATAATAACTAATCTTTAATTGATGAAAATTTTGATTAGCGGTCGCTATTTTACCTTCATTCTCCGTGACTTTCACATTCTCCCTTATTTATTCCATTCCATAGAATTTCTAGGTGCCATACGATGACAACCACAAGTTAGATCAGTCACTCACCATCACAAATGTGGTGAGCACACCATAATTGATAATTAATTAATTCGAACGGCTTCCAAGCCAGTTGGCATTGAAGCACGTATCACCTTACGTTGAAGTCGAAAGTAATCCTTGTACGTGATGCTCTTGAACAAGGGCTTCTCCTTCTGCAATAGCCATGGCGCAGGACCCCATCTCTTTATCCACTTCTGGTCCATTCACTGCGACTACACTCACTCTCGTCTCTTTCTCATTCACAACAGCTCGATGCCATACGCTCTTATACCTCCCATTACTCACTACCTATTAGTACCATAACACAACTTCAAAGGGTTAGAATTTAGCACCATTTATTAGAGAATTTAAAAAGTGAAAGTGATGACCTCAAGTTGATCGCCAGTGTTGACCATTAAGGAATTAGGAAGAGGATTGGCATTCACCCATTTGCCGTTGTGCTTCAACTGAAGGCCTCTGATTCCAGTTTGAAGGAGGAAGTTCAAGAAGCCATTGTCAGTATGAGGAGGTAGCCCCAGAACAAGGTCAGGTTCCGGACATGGAGGGTAAAGGTTCAGTTGAAGTTTCTGGTACCCATTGTCAGAACCTGCGTACTCAATAATGGCGTCAGGTTTTAATCCTAAACTCTCTGATATCCCCTGAAGCAAAGTCCTTGACACGCCTCTGATTGCATTGCTGTACTCCAGTGCAAGCTCTCTGTAAAGCCAAAAGACCATATATAAAAGAAAGAGGCAAAGAAAATGGAAGAAGACGTTGAGTTGAATAACATGTACTTGAAACCAGGTGGTGTTTGGGGAAAATTGAATTGGTCGGGAAAATTGAAAGCTTTTAGATTATCAATCCAGTAACGAACATTCTCCCCTGTTCCTCGAGAAATGGCACTAGTGCCATACTTGATGGTTAGAAGCAGCCGGAGGTCACCATTAGAATTAGATGAACATTTCTTCTTTTCCTCCAGAGGTAAATTATGAAATTCGATAGGCTTGCTCAGAACATCTTGTATTAAATTCTCTGAAATCCCATGATTAATGATCTGAAAAAACCACACACCCAGATCAACAGCTAAAACCCTCAAGTACTCTGTTTTCATGATCTAGGAACAGAGCAAAACAGAGGAGTGCTGGATGAAAGGATAAGAAGTTACCATGAAGAAGCCCCAATGTTGACATGCATGGCCGAGTTGGCGAGCGGCGGCGGCGTGGATGTGACGATCGGGGGAGGAGAGGAGGGAGAAGTCGATGACGGGGATGAAAGCAGACAGCTCATCGGCCATGTCGTCGCGACCTTCATGATCAGTGAGAGTGTGGGAGCAAGGAGGGATGGGAGCGACGCCGTTTAATTCGGCCAACGTTTTGACGCTTGAGACGTCGGAGCCGGAAGCCATGGATGAGGATTCAGAATTTTAGATTCAGAGCAGAATGCCGTGACAAATAAAAATCAGGGGAATGAATTACGAAACAAAACGATGTTTGTATATACACATTCGTCTAGACTTTGGATGCAGGTGTCGTCCCATTTCATGCACAGTTGTCAGTGTTTTGCATGGCATGAGTGGGACTGTTCCGTTCAGGTGACTGTGTTTGCGACAGAAAAAACTGAGAGTCACACATATCTCCCTTGCAAGATAATTAAATATCACTAGGTTTATTGATAACATAGCCAAACAAAATGCAACTATTTTAATGGTTATAGAATTGGTTTGGGCGCTTCGTTCAGTTGTAATTTGCTATGTTAAGTTATCAATAAACTTTGTATTATTTAATTATTTTATAGGTGACCTCAGTGTAATTCTTTCAACAACAAAAATTTTGGTTAACTTCCGCATCATTTAGATTTTAGACACAGAATATAATTATGCGCCGAAACCAATTCTATAACCATTAACCAACCAGTACAATAAAATTATCTAATTATCGTATACTAATAAAATTAATTTAATTCATGTTTTAAACTATCTTTATTTTTCTAATTTTACCATTATTTAATGCTTTTTGCAAACATCAAATGCATTTATATTTAGTCTTTTAAGTAGAAAGAAATCACTTTCCAAAATTTGTCCCAAAAAAAATAAAATAAAAATGGGGGGAGTACTATCTAATATGGAAAATTAGTGACTAGCACACCCCCTTCCTCTCTGCCACACCCTTTATCCTACTTACAAGTTACTTTTAAATTTTAACTAACTTTCTAAAATTAAGAAGAATTAATTAAATTATTGATGTTGTCTAGTTAAGAAAGAAAAAATTTCTCAATTTACCCATAGTAAATGTAAAATCTTAAAAACATTTTCTTTCTCCTGTATTTTTTTTTTTTTACTCATTCAAAATTATGAAAGGGGAAAATTGAAAGGAAGGAATTAATAATCTATCTTTTCATGCAAAATGACTTATAAAAAGGAAAATGACAATTGGGGACCTTATAAGAACATTAATGATAATTACATACCTTGAATTATTGATCCCAATTAGAGCCAGTAATTCGGGTCAAGCCAAAACCTGCTTGAAAAAAATTAAGACCTAACTCGGCTATATGACTTTTTTAAGAGTATAGGATACTTTAAACTTGATTCGAATTAAATTTGACCTAAATAAGCCTGACTACTAAAATTTTTAACTCTATATAGAGTTAATAATTTTGACCAAGCCTGATGGGCTAATCTGAATCTGATCAAAAAAAGTTAAAGTTGGGTTTGGTTATAAGAGTTTTTTTAAAAGAATAGAATACTTTAAACCTAATTCGAATAACCTAGCTCGCCTGAATTACTAGCTCTAATCTCAATAACTTACCATTATCCTTTCTTGCAATTAAAAAAATGCAAATAATCAATTAAAAAATTAACAAAATACACTTGAGATTATTTGTTATGTCAATTAGGAATTTACAAAAATCAGTTGTAAATCTCATTTTTTTGCTATCAATAAACAAATAAACTACTTAAAAAAATCAAGAAAATTCACTTGAGATTATTTATAATATTAGTTGAGAATTTATAGAAATTAGTTGTAAATCACAAACCAATCATTTATGATTTTTTTTATCAATATATAAATAAATTACTTGAAAAATCTATGAAACACACTTAGAATTATTTGTAAGGTTAGTTAAAAATTTATAAGAATTAGTTGTAAGCTCAAGCCAATCACTTGTGATTGCTTACTTTTGCTTGGAAAATCAACAAAAATACTTGGAAAGCATTGTAACATTAGTTAAAAATTTATAAAAATCTGTTGTGAATATCAAAATAATCAATAAAATATAATTTAATTATTATAAGTAAAGACTATGATCTATTGTTAGGATTTCAATAATTCAAGTTTTATAATTATCATTAATGTTTTTATAGGATTTTTAATTGTCATTTTTCGTATAAAAAAGACTACAAATTCCTTCTAAAAACTGACTTATATATAGGATCCAAGAGAATGCCTCCATCCATCTTAAATTATTAGCTCACTTTTAAAATTCAAGGACACTCTTAAAGTAGTTAAAGTTGGTTGATGTCTAACTTTTCTTTCTTCTTTCCAATTCCCATAATTAAATATAATGACTTGCACAATTTCAAATGCTCTTCTATTCAGGTTTAATTATTTATTAGTCTAATATATAACCCGACATATTCGAAGTGCATGCATATTGCTGGGTCGAGATTGGGATGCAACAGTGGAATGGTGTAGCAGAGATCAGGTGAACGTTGCTGCGCATGTGTTGGCTAAAGAGCCGTTGGATATTGTTAGACGCTGTTCTTCTTCGAGTACCCTTCATATGTAATTCTTTTGCGTGGGCTTTATTTTCTACATCGGGGAAAAAAAAACAAATTAAGAAAATAAGAATTTAATTTTCTTGTTCACATATACTGCATCGTTGTGATGATTCGAAGCCAATTCCGATTCATTACATGTAGCTATGGGCTGCGTTTGCTCCAGAGGAGGGAAGAACAATGATGAAATCAAGAGATATAAATCTGCGAGAGAAGCAGCCCAAGCTATTAATCGAATTAAGAAGGCCCAGCGACGCCGTCGTCGACACCCACGTTCTTTATACATAACCACCGCCGGTGGGGGTGCTAGAACGGGAGGTCCTGCCGGTGCAACCAGAGACGGCGACATGATCATGATGATGGGTGCTTCCGCTTTAATCCAAACGAATCATGGCATGTTTGATGGAGACGGAGGTAGTAATTGCACTGGTGGTGGCTACGGCGGCGGCGGCGGCGGCGGCGGCTGATGCTGTTGACATGTACGTGAATGGAATTTATTTGAATCTTTTAACGGATTTGTTTTCTCAACAGTTCTCTGCAATTATGTATAGATCTGATCTTAGACATTTTATCCATAGGAAATAGAATCAAAGAAAGAATGGTCTCAAAATCGTTGCACATACCTTTTTTTTTTTTTCACTTGTTCAAATGACATGAAATGAATTCTTCACGTGTTTGACTCCGAAATTTTGTTTCGTCTAGATTCTGTTTAGGTAATTAACAGAATCTGGAAAACGATCGAAAACTTGTCGGTTGATTTAATTGAATGAATCATTGTTCTATTTGACTTGAAAGAATAAAAATATAAGCTTTCCTGAGAAGTTGAGATCCAATATGCATATGTTTCATGCGGTTCAGAATGATCTCATTCGAACAACAATAAAAATGATGATCTGTGTGTCAATACTCAGAACCGGACAAATTGCTGTGGAAGTATTCAAAACGCTCTTGAATACGACCGGGTCAAACACAAGTACACGCACACGCAAGCTGAGTTCGTGTCAAACACAAATATATCAGCAATGCGTGGTTTCTTATTTGGTACTCATGTCAATAATACATTATGTAATTATTTATGTCGCGGATTATCAATCATGGGATGGAGTATAGAAGACCAGAACCATCTCTAGAATTTGATTATTCTTCACCATGGACCTTATCAAACAAACATTCACTATAAAAATGCGCATGAATGAAGGATAGCTTTACCAGATAGAGATGAATCCAGCTTTGAAAATATTTATCATCTCAGCCGTTTGCTTATTTGCCTTTGCTGCTGTACTGGGAATATTGTGCCGAGGGAGACGAGTCCGGCTTGCTTCTAGCGGTGGAGGTGGTGGTGTGTTCACTCACCATCACCATCACCACAATAACCATGTTTTTCATAGTGCAACCACAGATGGTGGGGCTATGGCTAGCTCCGATGGAGGTGGCGGCGGTGGAGGAGGTGGGTTTGGTTCTAGTGCTTGTTAGGTTAGGTCACAGAACTAAACTCAGCTCATAAGACAATTTAAAATTGAAATGAATTGATTGTCAGGTGTTATAGCTTAGTAGTTGTCATTAATTTCTTGTTTGTGCATGTAAGCATTTTATGCATAGGACAATCTTTGTTTCCATTACAGGCAGAGTGACAGTTTTGATTACTTCTTTGTTATGACTCCATTCTTCACCTCAACGGTATTTGTGGCTGTTTTTTACTGTATAGTTTTAATTATAGGACATTCATTGGTAGCTTCTGAATTTGATGTGTTTGATTTCATGTTAAAGTATACTAGCATTTGAATTGATAGATTTAAATTTAAATTCTAGATTTATAATATCACATTTAAAATAACTTGTTTTGATAGTGTAAATTTTTTTTAAGGTATAAGATAGATGAATTAAGATAAAAAATTAAAAGTGACAAGCTTATCTCTATTTTTTAAAAAATGAAAAATGAATGCAAGAGTTATCCAAAAAAAAAAAGAAGGTGAGAGTTGAGAAGAGAGAGTTGGAGTAGTTAAAATTTTAAATAACTAAGATTTAGGAATAATTTAAAATTATAAAGAAGTTATAATAAAATATGAATTTGAATTTGAATCATAAATATTTATGTATCTAAATGAAAAATTTGATTCAAATCCAAATGCATTCAAACATAACTTAAAATCATTCTTTAGCCATCAAGTGTGACATAAAACGGTTAAATTTCTAATAACGATGGCATAATTTAAGCTAATCATGCTTTAAGCTAATTTTCACAAAATATTTGGAGTGGAATTAAAATAATGCCCTTTGGAGGCTCTGTCTAGAACTGGAAGGCGCTGCGGAGAATGCGCCCTATCCCTACATTAGGCATGCCCTCAAAGCCTAACCTTCGTTACTAGTTTGTGTTTACAGTCAAGCGTACAAATATTTTTAATAACTCAACACCTATGATGATGGACTATTTACAAAGAAAAAACTTAGTGAAAATAGTGTTTTAACCTTTTCAATTTATTTATGATTCTTTTACTTTTAAATATCTTGAAAGTCTCATCTCTAGACTCCAATTCGCTTTTAAGCAATGTATTTATACCTAAAAACAATTTTGAATTTTTTTAAATAATGTTTGAATTGATGAATTTAAATTTTAAATTACAAATCTCATATTCAAATTTTGTGCATTTAAAATTTTTTTATTAAATTGATGTAAGAAATTTTAAAGATAAAAACAAAAACACATGCTGAGAGTCAAAATGAAAATAAAATATTAGAAGTGACAATTTTACCTTTATTTTTTAATCGATAAGAGACGAAGACAAAAAAATGAAAAAGAAGCTAGAGTAACAAAAAAGTGACAATTAAAAAAAAGTGAGAAAAATAAAAGGATAATTAAAATTTCAAGCAACTAAAAAGTTTAAATCCAAATCCAAATCAACATATATCTAAATACAGCTTTGAAATACAGGACCAATTCAACTTAATTTTATAATCAATAAAATTAAAAGGGTAATCTTTACACATTTTTGTTATTAAGACTATTTTCACCAAATTTTTACACATTTTTGTTCCCAAGACAAATATGTACAAAAATACTTTACCAAGTGTTTTTCCCCTCGTAACATAGAAAAGGGTAATCTTGCGTCTAGCTTGTTTTGGTGAACATGATAAAAACAGCATATTATGCAAAACTCACACTAAATATTAGATCTGACGCTTGACACTTCCCAACAAATAAAAAATAAAATTGAAAAAAAAAAAAGCCACCGAGAACTGATCGAACACATGGAAAACTTAGCTGCTTTTGCTGGAAATAATGTTTAACCATAATAATGATGATGATAATATATCAAAATTGCAAGATGAGCAGATGACACCCAAAGATGGGTCGGAAACAGATGAGATAATTTCATGTGCCATAGCTACGGTCCCCTGCATCTCCAAGGCCAGGAATTATGAACCTAGCAGAGAGAAGTTATTGGATATGTTAAATGGCCGGATAGCTATATTTCTATACATAAGAATTTCCCCAAGACAAAATATAATAAGGTCAGGGACTAACCCTTTATCATTCACAGTGGGATCAATAATTCCAGTATAGACATGAAGGCTGCAAAATTCTTTCAATTAGAAACTCTCAAGATAGTCTAGAGTTTGATAAACCAAAGATATTTAAATTATATGATTACCCAGGGAATTGCTCACTCAGCTTCTGAAGGGCTGGCGGGGCAGAGACACAAGATATCTGCAATTTCATGATCATAAGCTATATAACCAAACAGATGAAAGGAAAAAAAAAAAACATAAAATGCATTATATGTTGAACGCGCATCAAGTATTGGCATGTTGGGAACACTGATCGAAAAGTCTCCAGAACATCGTATTATACTTACACGGCAACAGTGCCATACATATAGAACAGCCCCAAGTTATGCAGTGTCAATGCTATGCATAACCAATCAAGAAACCAATTGAAATATAATTGGAATGAATCCCAAAAGAGAATCTAGTTTCAATAAGATGCAGGGCCTAACCACTTTAATCTGTTTGTTGCCAACTCCACGATCCTTTAAGAGTTTGAGAGCTGCCACTATAGTACCACCTGCAATTCATATGGACAATGAAAACCTATAAAGCCCACAAAATCAGGATGCTTTCTTGCGAGCAGGAGCTCTACAAAAGCCAACGCACTAACCTTACTTCCCGTCCTTAATGGAAATAGAGTTGAAATTTTCAGAAAAAATTATCGTGGTTCATCATGGGTGGTAAAGTTTTGAAAGAAAAATAAACAAACCCAAGCTTAGATAAATGTATTTCTATCAGCTCACATGTTTAATCATCCAATTCATTTTATAACATAAATATCTAAAACCAACCCATTCAAATAGCAGATATGACAGCCACAATTGGAGAAAACTTCTCCAGCAAATAACATATGGCTACTTTGGACTTAAAATTATATGCTGTTGGACCTTATTAGTTATTGCTTTTGCAACAAATGTAGACCATAAGGCACCCTATACTGAAAACCAGCCCTCAAGGTAGCTTTTCAGGAGTAGGACACACAAGCCCATACGTAATGGACAGTTTGATTGATGATATGTGCAAATGCAAAAGCTCAAGCGTAAGTAGATCATATATACCTGTTGCTAGCATAGGATCAACCACCAAAACTTTAGATCCTTCTGGAAACTTATCAGGTAACCTGGGAATCATATACTAAAACATATGATGAAAGGTTCTCCAAAATTGAAGTAAAACAATGCAAAAGCAAAAGAATAAATAGTGGCTTGCCCTCGTTACTCTCCTTCACCCATGCCAAGCCAGCCCCAAAAGTGGGAGGGAAGTAAAAGGGGAGGGAAGGAGTGAGGGAGAGAGAAGGAGGGAGGGGAACAGGGGGGAAGGAGAGCATTGTCTTTCAACACTTTCTTACTTGTTCAGATATATAGTTGGCTGAAGCGTTTCCTCATCTCTGCTTATTCCTAACACAAAATAAAATCAGAAACAAAAAAGTATTTATTTATTCAAATCCTAGAGATTGATAAAAAAATGTATTCTGATGTTAAAGAACAAAGGCCTCATAAGAATCAATACTAGATGTAGTTTAGAAAAGACATCACATTGGTCAAGTGAACCATGAAACAAAATGCACAAACGCAGATACGGACTTCTGCGTAAATTGACATTTGTTGGATTTGTCCTGAAATCATATGCAACATTGGAACATTGGAGGATCTGTATCCTCCAATTTTTGTTAACTTCTATGCTAGCCTAGCCTGACCTTATTCTTACCTAGATGATATGTTTTTGTTGCAGGCAAGATTGATGATGCGTGTTCTGCAAGAGCAAGACCAGCTCTTAAGATTGGAACTACCTGGAAGGGAAAAAGAAAAAGGTTTAAATGATTTCTTGCAGAAAGGCACTACACAGAAAGACTCTGGGATCCTCTGCATTCTGCAGTTCAGTATAAGGGCCCACTTGGGAGCATAGAGTAGAGGAATATGGAGTAGGAATCATTTACACAAAATTCACTACATTCTTGTTATTATTATTACTATTATTATTATTTTAAGAAGGAATATGAGGGTTATTTCCCCATCATTCTTTCCAGTTCAAACATACAAATTGAATAGCATTCCATTCCCATTCCTTTCAATATTATACCAGATGTCATTATTCCATTCCACTCATCTTTATTCTCTATTCATATTCCCACCAAATAATTTTGCAAACCAAACACATCAGCCCATCATCATAAGGAAAAATTAGTGGATTAATATATATTACAATCAGAATGTGCGAAGAATTCCTTAAAAGGTTTGATGAAACAAGCTTAATGAAAGTAATAAGATACTGACAGCCACAGGCTCCCTTGGATCAATGAATTCGACAGAGGCAACACCCATTGGTGACTGAATCTCTCCTGCAACAGTTGGCTGATAGCAATGAAAGGAAGAAAATATAACCATGGTTTAGAGGCAGACACAAATATTTCTGAGGAAGCTATGAAATAACACTTATAATCTCAAAAGATCATTTAAGCCAGATTCAACACTTGCATTTACTGTTCGTCCCAAACAGAAAAAACACTGGCACTGAGTGTCTTTTGAAGATCAAATTGACCTAGCATGTTGGACTGCCTATGACTTGTTATTATAGGGTATAGGGCTATGTATCATGTTCCAAAGATCACTAAACTATGATTATTTATTTTTAGTCCTAGGTAAACTACAGTAATTTTTACAAAAAAAATGTTATGAGGTTCAGTTGGGATTAATTTATGTCATTTGTAGTTCTAAAGTATTACTGATTCTAATTTTCATTCCCAAAGTTTCCTTACGGTTTATTGGTAGCGGACGCCACAGTCCTTGTAAGAATGGAAACAATTCTTGATCTTTATAAAATTTTTGTATGATGGATATTAAAAGTGGCTGTCATACTTTCTTTTTGAAAGGATGTTCAGTAGTATAAAGTACTGCATCAATATTTCTCTCCCCTCTGACTGTGGCTGCAATCAAGTCCTAGATGTGATGCTAAGAATAGGTTAATTGCCATCGTCCTCTTTGCAACCTCTACTCTATTTCCCTCTGCTCAATGTCCCAATACAACTAAATTCTACCATTAACCCACTAAGCAAACCCTAACCCTAAGCTATTAAATCCTTAACCTCCTATTGTCCTTGATAGAGAGAGAGAGATCAATACAAGTCTAAGCAAAAGCCAACTTATATCTTAGGCAACATTTTGATAAACATGGATTGAGAAGTATAATTTGAACCAGACTAGACGATTGGAGATCAATGCATGAAACCTGTGTCCTTTAAGGCTCGATCTCTTAGAGATGAAAACCATTACTAAAACTTTTAGGAAAAAACAGACTGCAAGAGAATCTAACCAGCCAATCCCTTGAAGCTTCATACATTAGTAGCCTTCCCAACTCAGCCATTGCATTTCCTTCAATGATGCAAATGGAGTCAAATCAATCTTTATATGATTAATCAGAAAATTATAATTTCAAAACCGAGTAACCGACAATAAAAGAACAGAGAGAGAAAGATGGAGAATGAATGTTTCAAATGAAACCAAGAATGATACCACAGGGCACAGGCTCACTAGTCCACCCTGTTCAGGAAGCCATATTACTTTGAGGAAAAAAAGATATTCAAAGTAAGTCGTCCCAGTTCTCCAACCATACGAAAAATACATAAAAGCCGATGAGAGTTGCTAATGGGTGCTAGGGATATTATAAAATCAGAACACTTGAGCAATAACAAAGCAGAAATTCTTTCCTCACTCAGCAGCAACAATTTATGGGAGTGAAGTCCTCACGCTCCATAAAACATTTTCCGGCAATCACTTCATCATGAGACACGACAATTAAATGATATAAATAAACCAGAGATAGAACCTTTATAAATCGTAATGATTAATGAAGATACCGAAACATTGCTATTAGTGTTTCTATTTGACTTTGCCAGTAAATATAACTGACGAAGCCATTGAAGGTAAAAAGCAGCAGGGAAAAAAAACAGAGAGACGGTTACGAAAGCAGTTGATGCGATTGAACAAATTGCTAAGGTAACTGAAGAAAGTAGGATCAGTATTAATTGTCAAGATCAAACTCCAGATTGTTGCTCACAGTAGAAAATGTTACACTCACTGAAGATAGGACAAGGAGTCTGTTCGTTCCTCAGAACGGAAACCCAGTGCTTGATCAGCGGATGCGGAGGCACATAAACCTTCAGAACCATCAAAAGAGTAATCAGTCAACTAGGCAGCTATGGATAACTAACAACTGTGAACACGTCATTAACCAAAATCACAAGAAAAGATAGAAACTAACAAGCATTTTGTCCTCAGAAATTGGCTTCTCCTCCATGGTCATGTGAGACCTTACAGCGCCAGAGCAACGGCGCCGAGCGGTGGAAGAGGGGATCTAAGCGAGGCAGAACCAATGAGCAAAGGAGGTTTAATGGAGAATCCAAGAATATAATGAGTGAGAAAAAAGCCAGATTTTTTTTTAAATAAATGATATTCAAATTTAAAATTAAATTGATTGATTAAAGCTAAAATTACCTTACAGGTTTTGGAGAGAGGAAAGGGAATGAGAGCGGGGTGAGAGGCGTGGGAGGGAATTCGGGTTTGAAGTTGACATGTGGAAGAAAGACGCGGCGAATCGGACGGATGCCAGAGAATAGGAGGAAAATTAAGACGGCACGAAGCCATGCATTCGATGTTTATCTAAGAAATGAGATTCAGAGATTCTTGCGTTGCAGAATTTAGGGACGGGAAATTGAAGTTTCCATTTTCGGCGTTGATTTATAGGATTCGGGTTTCAGGTCTCGTCATTGGGCTACCTCATTCGTGGGCTTCTCTCAATTTCGCTTTTCAGAGTTCACATGAGAGAGATTGATGAAGTGAACCATGAGCTAGTCCATTTACAGAAAAGAAAAATTAGCATAACTTCAAACTATCATCTTTTCACCATCACAAGCTTGTATCAACTAATTATGAGATCAATTTCTTTTAATCAGAAGTCTTGAATTCGAGCCTTTTTATGCAGTAATAATTAATATTTTGGTTAAATACACCCCTTGAAGAGGTGCCTACAAACTATCAACTAAATTAGTTTACATCAAAGATATAAGATATCAAAGAAAAAGCAAAACAAACTATCATCTTTTCAAGAAAAATATGAGTATGAATTGTAAATTCTACATATATAAAAAATTTAAAACATGCATTTCGTTATCAATTCAATCACTATCCAGATAAAAATGAAAAAATATCATTCAAGTAGTAATTTGCATCAAAAGACAAGTGTCCATTAAGAAAAGGGTAAGTTGGAAGGATGTTCTCAAGGGATTGTGGTAGATATTTGTACATCTGAGTGGTAATTAATTATTAATTAATCTCACGCATATAATCAGATTTGCACAAAAATTAGAGGCGACAATTGCACATATGAGAGGAGCCAGGGAGAAGAAACACGACCAAACCATACCATCATTGGTGACACAAAGCAGACATATATAAGCATACAAAAGCTGACTCTTTGCTCAAACCATTTCTGTTTGTCTGATTTCATTTGATTGTGATTTGCTGAAACATAAACAAGCCATAAAATAAAACAAACCATGCATAAATCATTGCATTTTCACAATAATCCAAGAGGCTGCCTTGTTTGTTTTTGTTTCCACATTCACCCATGAAGCATGCAAATGGTTTGTTAATTTATTAAAGCTCTAACGTCACTTTTAGAACAAACGTAAGTGCGTAACGGCAGCTGCAAAATAGGGACATCCTTGATTATTTCTCAGTCACTGGCTGCGTGTGCCTAATGATCATGCATGGTTCCAGCTTGACGGTCCCATATTTGTGTTCTCTTCCTTTAAAAAAAAAAAAAGAACAGATTAGAGCGCAACGACCGGCGAGCCCGTTTTTAATTTTAAAAAGTCCGAAACGAATGGCCTCGGTTGGATTCGTTAACCTCATAAGTGGCGTGATGAAGGGTTTGTGCTGACTGCTTTGCTGATGCTCAGCGTCTAGATTTCGTCTAGTTCTACTGTCTCGGCATAGCAAATCTCATTTAGAAAAAAAAAAAAAAACAATGACTTCATTGATTAAAATGAAACATGGTCAACAAAAAGTTGTCCAAGAGACAACGTTACCTTCTTCACTTGAAAAGGGTTCAAAATTTAAACTTATCATTGCCATATTTGTGTGTTTGATTTGGGTGTCTTCTTTTTTTATAAAAAAAATGGCTAAATTAAAGATAAAACTTTGTTTAAAAAATAATTCAAAGTGCATTGTTTTAAAGAGATTAATCAATTGTGTCTTATGCCGTAAATAAGTCATTTCAATTTAAAATGCAAGAATAGTGTTTGCACTTAAATTGTGAATGTGGAGATCCAAACTCAACTTAATTTAATTAGCTTTAAAATAATTTAAAAAATATTTATAAAGCCTTAGCCATTAAGTCAAGACCGTCTACATTTCACCCATGATGAGTAACCACAATAGAGGAAGTGATTCCTAAATTCAAGAAAACTAGCAATCATAGGGCTTAAACACCAAGCAAGGATCATCTATAAATAGAAGAGCCCTCTCTCAACAATCATCATCAGCATCAATAAATTATTAGTCTCAGACTCTACGTCTACTATTTTATTTTATTTTTCCTTTCATTATGTAGTTTTAGTCTTTTATTTTTCATTATACGGCCGACATAGTCCGGCCACCTCTTTTTTTAACTAATGGATCTCTGCTTTTTTGCATATATATTAATTTTCTTTACTTCACATTTTCACATCCAGGTGAACTATAGTAAGGAAGTCCAGGTTCCTGCGTTTGATTAAAAGTCAGATTCTGTCATCCTTTTAAAACCCCGCATCTCTATCACACCTCGTAACCCACAACCTTTTATTTTTGTTGAACAATTTTTGGAACGCTTGATGGAACACGTGTGAATGAAATGCCCAGGACACATGAGAATTAATATATTATTGGAAAAAATAGACTTGAGTCTTATAACTTAAAAAATGTAGCTGCACATGTAGAACATGAAGTATAAGCTAATGAGAGCTAATGAGAGGGAAAGAGCTCTGTTGCACATTCTAAAAGATGGCTAAGGAACATCTTTACTATGCTATCTAGACCGTCGCAAGAGCAAGCTCTAATTAGCTCGTGGCTTCAAAGAATAGATGAATTCGGGGAGCAGTCTCCCAATATGCCCTTCAACTAGAAGATTAATAACAAGAACTGTTATAACATCCCTCAAAGGATAAATAACAAGTCTAATTCAATGGGGGCCCATTTGATCATAGAGGCCAGAGCCATTAGAGCCAACACTAAAAGGGTCAGAGCCACAAGGGCCAATAAAGCCACTGGAGTCAAAACCATAAGGGCCAGCACCACAAGAGCTAGAGCCATAGGGGCTAGCACCAGAGGGATCGAAGCCACAAGGACCGGCACCATAGGGGCCAGAGCCACTAAGGCCAGTACCAAAGGAGTCGGAACCACAGGAGCCAGAGTCATAAGGGCCAAAGCCACTAGGACCAACACTAGAGGACCTAAAGCCACAGGGACTAAAACCATAAGGGTTATAGCTATTGGGGCTTAAACTACAGGGGTCGGAGCCACTGTGACCAACACCAAAAAAGTTGAAGCCATATGGGCTAAAACCACAAGGCCCAATGACAGAAGGGCTAGAGCCTTAAAGGCCGACGACACAGAGTCCAGTGCCATAAGGGTGGGAGCTAAAAGGGTTAGTGCCACAGGGGCCACCATCAGAGGGGTTAGAGTCATAAGGGCCTGAGTCATTAATACTGGTACCAAAGGGGCTAAAACCACAAAGGCCAGCACCAAAGGAGCCATAGGGGTCGGAGTCACAGGAGCTAAAGCCACTGGGGCCAACACTAAATAGGTCTAAGCCACAGAGGCCAAAACTACAGGGGCCAGCATCAGAAGGGCCGGAGCCACAAGGGTCAGCACCACATAAGCTAGTATCAGAAAGGCTAGAGCCAAAAAGGCTAAAGTCAGAAAAGTGAGCTTTGCAAGGGCTTTTTGTACAAGAGCTTTTTCCTAAAAGGCTCTCTCCGCAAGGACAAAAGTCATAAGGTTAAGCCTTGCAGTGATTAAATTTTACAAAACCAGTCCTTAAAGTCAAAAAACTTAAATGGCTAATTTCAAAACCAGCTCTTAAAGTCCTAAACCTTAAGAAAGTTGATCCTAAACTAAACCACATAGTCCCTAATCCTAAATCATAAGAGTATCCTTTAAGTAAAGTATCAGATCAACCATCAATCAGAACAATAACGAGTTGGTCCTCCAATACATACTACTCACCTAACACTTGGAAGTAGGGTTAATAAAAGTATGCATATAAAAGTAGCCTATATAGAGGGCAATGTTTGCACCTAAATTATAAATTTGGAGACCCTAGTTCAATTCAACTTAATTGGCTTTAAAATAAATAAAAGAAAATATTTATAAAGCCTTAGCCACTAATTCAAGACCATTTACACTCCACCCATGATGAGTAACCATGATGGAGGAAATGGTTCCTAAATTCAAAAAAAATTGGCATTCATAGGGCTTGGACACCAAGCTAGAATCATCTATAAATAGAAGAATCCTCTCTCAACAATCATCATCAGCATTAACAAACTATCAGTCTCAAACTCTGCGTCTGATGCTTTACTTTATTTTCCCTTTTATTATCTAATTTTAGTCTTTATTTTATTGTACAGCTGACATAGCCCCACCACCTCTTTCTTTAATTAATGTATCTATTGTTTTCTACATCTACATTAATTTTCTTCACTTCATATTCTCACATTCGGGTGAATTGTGATAAGGAAGGCCGAGTTCCTCACATTTAATTAGAAGTTAAATTCTTTTATCCTTTTGAGACCCTATGTCTCTAGCACGCCTCACTACCCATGCCCTTTCATTTTTGCCAACAAAATAGTTAAACCTGCATGAGCTCTTTTGAAATATGAAAGAACCCCCTCCTTCACTTTCTTAATGAAAATACTCTTTGGACAATGAACATAAGAATGACTTGACTAGTTAATATTCATGACATTTTTTCATGTCAACTATTTTAATTCTAGAAGCTGATCATCATGAATTGGGTAGAATCATTATTATTAAAGTCCATTACAAAAATATCTATAAAAATGAAGATATGTGCTTCATGGATCAAAAATTGTTTATAGAGATACTTACATGTCATTATCAATAAAGTCTTTATATTAGCAATGGAATGTAATCCTACAATTCCATAAATTATAGATCAGAAAGTCACTAACTATACTAACCTTTATTGGTGATAATTAGAATAGGAGATGGCAAAATGATTCGTGTGTTAGGCCAAAAGGGATGGTTGAATGAAGCGAGACCATCAAATGGCCAAAATATTTGAGAGGCCATTGTAAGGCCTAAATATTGATGGGTTGGGTTGAAACTGAAGCTTTGGTCCAATTGCATTTTAAGTAATTCCTATTCATGTAAAGATTGAAACGAATGCCCATGAAACAGATCAAATTAATGTTTTTTGTCATTTTTCAAGCAAGTTTTTATCATACAATCAGACCTTTTTAAATAAAAAAAATTACAACTAAGTGCTACACAAGAAAATTAATTACTATAAAATTCATTGATAACTAAACTAAATGCCATTAGCAACTAATTGTGTTGAGTTCATTTGTCAATAAATCTTATAATAATTAATTTTTTTGTGTAGAATTTTAATATAATTTTCTCTTAAATAAATAGGACAAAGCCTGTTGACATGTTT